TCCATCCATCCATCCATCCATCCATCCATCCATCCATCATCCATCCATCCATCATCCATCCATCCATCCATTCGGTTACGTACCTGCAGCATAGTGGTCATCGACCACGCAGTTCAACATCCATGTCCCTGGGTTATTGGCTACCATGCTGGCTGTTACAAATGTGGCAGGAAGTAGAGTAGCAACATCTTTACGGCGTGAATCCACTACAAACGTCTGTCCGTGGAAATAAGCTGCAGATCAGGAAACCTTAAGTTTTGAATTTACAACCACACGAACCAAAATAAAACAGCCCATAAAAGCGGTGGGTTCATTATTGAATGTTGCAACACAATTAACTTGTAGGTGCTTCGCCGGGCATGTATACTCTTTCAAGGAAAAGGTTCATTTTTAGAAAAATTCACAACTTTGTTTTAAAGTAATTGACACGGATCATTTTACAGATGGTTATGGACCACTGATGTCTGATGCCCGGTTAATTGATTCCAAGAGAATATGAACTAAGAGAAGGAATCCCCGTGCCCCATCATGTGCACACTTTGATGCTATTTTTAGAATCTATTCTAAAAGTATCGTCCAATGATATCATTTATTTGATCGTTTGATTTTCTGCACGCGCATAGTACGCGCGCGCTCTACGCTGTTTGCTAACGCTTTCTTGTACTTTTCTTGTGTTCAAATGTTCAAATCTGCCTCAAGGTGACGATGTAGTTCGAGAGCTTTGGAAAATAAATGTAAAAATACTCCAGAAAGTTGAACAAATTACTACTTCATTTTTTCTGTTGTATTTGCCAAGCTTTGGACGTGCACATTCATATTCAGGGCGGAGTCGAAATAACGGACAAAAACCCAAAAACGTAAGCAAACAGCGTAGAGCGCGCAGTAAATGCGCGTGCGGAAAAACAAATGGTTTGAAAATATCATCAAACTGTGCACATTATGGTTACAAGACTATATAGGGGGAATTCCTTCTCTTAGTGCGTGGGGGATTATAAAAATCACCATAGAGTGTGTATAGATACTTCTCTTAGTTCATTTTCTCTTGTTGATTCTCAATAATATATACCATTCTTAGTCAAAACATAAACCAACACCATCTGTGTTAATCCAAACTTAGGACCAACGTAGTGATCTTCTCCAGCCACAAAATGTAAATTAATAGCAGTATTAAGGAATAAACTACTAATGGTCTATCACAAATCCTGCGCTCTGATTGGCCCAGCTACTAGTGGTCTATTTAATAGTGATAGACCACTAGTAGCGAAAACTAGCGGTTTTGAAAACCAAAACCATGCAAAAATAAATTATCATAACGTAATTTTCAACATTGCTCGTATACCGAGTCTCCTAAAGCACAAGTCGAACAAAGAGTACTACCAAGAGAAAATGAACTAAGAGAAGGAATTCCCTCTATATAGTCTTGTAACCATCATGTGCACAGTTTTTGCTATTTTTAAACCATTTGTTTTTCTGCACGCGCATTTACTGCGCGCGCTCTACGCTGTTTGCTTACGTTTTTGGGTTTTTATCCGTTATTTCGACTCCGCCCTGAATATGAATGTGCACGTCCAAAGCTTGGCAAATACAACAGGAAAATGAAGTAGTAATTTGTTCAACTTTCTGGAGTATTTTTACATTTATTTTCCAAAGCTCTCGACCTACATCGTCACCTTGAGGCGGATTTGAACATTTGAACACAAGAAAAGTACAAGAAAACGTTAGCAAACAGCGTAGAGCGCGCGCGTACTATGCGCGTGCAGAAAATCAAACGATCAAATAAATGATATCATTGGACGATACTTTTAGAATAGATTCTAAAAATAGCATCAAAGTGTGCACATGATGGGGCACGGGGATTCCTTCTCATAGTTCATATTCTCTTGGTACTACTCAGCGTTATCTAATGATACTCGATTTACCTGTATGTATGTCTACTTCATTGCCAATACCAAACAAATGCCAGTTCACTTTATCACCAACACACAATYCTAGTCCCGGTAGATTAGCATAAAAAAGACCGTTAATAGAATGCATCTTGTTAGCTTCTTTGAAATCTTCATCTTCCTTCTTCTTTTTTGCCGCAGCAGGATTTGTACAAAACCTGGAAGAAAATAAGAGAACGTCCAATCACCTTACAAACACACACACTATCTTGCAAAAACACTCCTGCTCGAAGCAAACATAGATCATGAAAAGAAAGAATGAAAAAATGCTCATACAATTATAATTAAGGCAGTTGGATATTCCCATAAACAAATACTTGAATGCGAGGCTAAGCGTGGTGGAATCTATTGTTCAAACCAACATGGCGATCAAATCATATAGGCATATTACCTTTCGATGTTTTTGTCCAAAAGCCAGCTCACATTTTCGTCAAATACCGTAAAAAGTGCAAAGAATTCCTTATCCACATCTATTCTTTTCAGATTAGAGTCTAGAGTACCCTTTCTACAGGTTAACAACGGCCCTAAAATAAATAATCAATAGTTCATCAGAAATAATTCCTAATTTYATTGGAGTGCTAGTACCAGAACAACAGATGAAGAAAATCACTCAATCAAGGGCGGGGAACTAGAGAAAATAACTGAATATTCTTTTTTCTTCTAGTATCCAAAAAATAAAAATCGCGAGTGTTCTTTTGTGATACCACAAACCTGTATTAATAAAGACATAAAAACCAGCCTTACGTTTCTAGAACTGACTTTAAGTTTTGGTTTTGTAAAGTCCGTTTGTCAGGCATGTTTGAAAGTAAAATTAACAATAAAACGAAGACCTTTTGAAGTAATTTGTATACGGGCTTAGAGCAAGCGCAGACCTTTTTTTACTTGTTTCCACTATGCCTGCTTTTATCTGTAAAAATACTGATTATCAGTCATTATAAGATCATTTCCTACCGGCTCCATAGCAACAAGACATCTAGTGTCACAGAAAATGTTTTGAATCATGACATCTGCTTAAAGTTTTCTTTAAAGACTTCTTTAAAATTCTTTCTTTTTGCTTCTGGTTGTTTTTCATACATCTTTAAATAATATAATTTAAAGCGAGTTTTCGTTGTGAACTGACTTACCAACAAGGCCAGTATTGATGTCATTTGCTGGATCGACATGTGAATGATATACCCATGTTAAACAGTTATCGTCACCCTTCGTGGGACCGTGATTATCAGGAATTTCCCATTCGTATGTGTGCTGGCCGTTAAAGGGCACGTGATCATCCTTCTTTTCATCTTCGGTGCTCTCATCCTCGTATAATGCTCCCTCTGAGCTCTTGGTGTAAAACACACCATGCGGATGCACTGAAAATCTGCGACTATAAACAAAGGTGTCTTAGTCAGTTTGCTTTATGCACTGCACACCCCTATCACATGACGTCTGAACATTACTGATTGAAACTAATACTTTCTTTTCTATTTTGTTGTCTCGTTTCTTTTCTCTCTCGTATTTTCGATACCACTGGTTGTAAACTACTTCGCAAGAGGTTCGATCGCACACGTTATTAGTGTATATCTATGATCGATTAGTATAGGAAATCACACAATTCGCAATTTACAGGTACGAGTGATGTTTTGAAAGTTTTCAAAATTGGACGAGACTTTAGACAAGTTCAATTTGAGAACTTTCAAAACATCACAAGTATCTATAAATTCAGAATTGTATGAGAAGATTGTGCGATTTTTTGTTCATAATACACCCAAAAAAATTGAGCAACTTATAAGAATTTACTTAGTTTATTCGTGAAATGTTAATGTTTTGTGTAACACTTACCCGATGTTCGCTTTATTCTTGAAATACACTTTGATTACATCTCCGACTTCACCCTTGATAACAGGGCCCAGTATTCCTAGATGTGGGGGGTGTGGCTTTTCCTTGGTGAACGTGTTATCAGTGTATTCACGGTACAATACCTTTTCATATACCTTGCCTATGGTTGTAGTGCCTTTTTGTGTAAACACAGAAGCATCACTACGAAATGAAAAGGATCATGATCAGGCAATCATTCAGCTAGCTCGTCTATTAGAATGGTACTAGGTACTAAGAACCAAAGTATGGCGTTCCATGTCAAGAGCAAAACGCTGTTCTAGTTGATATAAGCAACTATAGTGATGCTTTCTTGTGGTTGCTGTGATGACTCGATCATCTTGTGTGTGGTACGAGTCGGCAAATTCCATGCCATATGTATARTCATGCAACGTTGAGCAAGTTTTTTTGTGCGAAAAGGAAACTAACCAAGTCGGACGCTTCTTTTGAAAATTAAGGTGAAAACGTTTACCAGAAAAATAAATGTTAAATACAAAAGTTGCGTCTAATCTTTGTTAGTRTTGTACATGTTACTTGACCCGTTGGTATTGTACATGTTAATAAACACGTAGATTAACTTCTTGTAGAAAGTCCTTGACGAAAAGTACTTTAATAGAGAATATTGATGATAAGAAGGAGGTGTTTCGGACTCGCTTTCTTTACTGGGACACTGAGTACCAACTGACTGCTTAAACGTTTCCGTTTTCTATACGGTTAGCATGAAAAACTGAGATTTATGGATAATCAGTTATCATACATGGCCTCGTTAGACTTTTAACAGTCCCTCTTTTCCCACCTAATTCAGTTGAATCAAGTCTAGCTTGGTTGGTATGCGGGTGAGTGAAGCAGCACGCGGTGAGTGAAGCAGTCCCCGCATACTCAAGGTTCAAAGTCAACCCCACTCTCCGTGCGACCAAAACAGGAAACATTTAAAAAATGTATTCGTATAGAATTTATACGCCTTCAACATATGGTAAAACCAGCCAGCTTCGCATCGAAATGTGTTGGTTTAACGTAAGAAAGCCCGTGCATAAGAGTATGCGAATACATTAAACGTGGTCATGCTTGCCGTCATGCTTACTTTTGCGCGTTGTGCAGTAACAGTCTAGGCGTCAGTTATGGCCAAACCTGACTTGAGCAACCCAATACTATTAATAAAACACTTTACTTTATGCCATCTAAGGTAATCAGTTGTTTGCATCACTTGTTACTCATCAATGTAACGATCTGCAGTCAAGCGATCAAAATAGAAGAAACCATCACAAAAAATCTGTTAACATTTGATCAGCTACGATTTCAAGCTCACACCCCCTCACGTAAGCCCATACAAATTATGTCTCAACATAGGGTCTCAAAAACACGGTTTCTGGATTTTTCCCAAAATAATGACTATCTAGGCAAAAAACAGGAGTGGATTAAGTTAATTCAGCTATTCACGGACTGTATTACACCTTTTGCTATTCATTAACCGCAAAGGAATATTCATTGAAGCGAAGAAGCATTGTCATTAGAGCGAACAGGCATACAATAAGGCGAACGGACTCTCAATAGTGCGATGGAACTTTCATTAAGAAATTTAGCATTGAATTTGACAATCATGAATATGTTTGCGTGGGTTCATTAACGTTTTCAAACTTTCATTAG